CTTCCTCTCACCAGCTCATCCGCAGCCAGGACGTTATTTTCGATGAGACTCGATCCCCATTCCATTCCCCCCCACCCGCCCCTCCTGTCCCCTCTCTTCGCTGGTCTGATTTCGATCAGCCGTCGTCTGTCATTCCCTCCCCTCCTCCCCCCCCCCTTCTCCCGCCCCTTCCCGCCCCTCCACCCGCGCCAGCCTCTACTGCCCCCCTTCCGACATCATCTCTGGCGCCTCCCCACCCGCCTCTTCCTCTTCGGCTCCCGTCCCTTCCTCACCTCCATCATCCTCTCCACCTCCTTCACCTGTTCCCATTCCCCCCCCTTCCCCGCGCCTTACTCGCTCCATGACTCGCGCGCTTTCTAACTTTCAACACTCTGCTCTTTTCACTCATCTTTCTCCACCCCAGAATGTTAATCTTCTTGAAGATCGCTTTGAGGAGCTCTTCAACATTCATCCTGTTTCTCCTCTTCTGTGTGTCACCGTCGGTGACTTTAGCAATTCTCCCACTCTTCTTTCTGTTGACACCGCTGCCATTCCCACCCCTCTGTCCTACTCCGAGGCTGTGTCGGGCTTTCATGCCACTGAATGGATGACTGCCATCATTGCTGAGTGCGAGGCATTTACCAGAACCAATTCCTACATTGACTCTGTCCCCCCCCCTGGCGCCACTATTGTTAAAGGCAAATGGGTCTTCCGTGTCAAGCAGCTGCCCGGCGAACTTCCTGTCTTCAAGGCCCGCTACTGTGCCAAGGGCTTCACTCAGCGTGAAGGCATTGACTACTTTGCCACTTACTCCCCCACAGCCCGTCTCCCCACTCTCCGCCTCCTTCTTGACTTAGGCGCTCGCTGGAATTGGGAGATCCACTCCATGGACGTTTCCAATGCTTTCCTCCAGGGCGAGCTGCATGAGCGCATATTCCTTGAGCGCCCCGCTGGTTTTCCTCGCCCTTTCCCTCCAGGCACTGTTTGGGAACTCAAGCGACCTGTGTATGGCCTTAAACAGGCCCCGCGCGAGTGGCACGCCAAGCTCGCCTCCACTCTTCACTCTCTTGGCTTCTCTACCTCCACTTCCGACCCCAGTCTTTTCATTCGCACATCCCCCCACAGGCTTTACATCCTTGCCTACGTGGATGATTTGGTGCTGCTTGCTGAGGACTCCGCCGATCTTGCAGCTGTCAAGAAAGCCCTGCAGGCGCGTCTCATGTGCAAGGATCTTGGCGAGCTTCGTCACTACCTCGGCATGGAGATCCGTCGTGATCGTGCTGCTCGTACCATCTCTCTCTCCCAGTCTTTCTACATTCAGTCCATCCTCCAGCGGTTTGAGATGTCGCAAGCCAAGCCGGTCTCCACCCCTCTTCCCGCTAACCATCAGCTTACTGCCCCTGCCGTCCCTGCTCCCTCCTCAGAGCTGCGGCCTTATCCTGAGCTCGTTGGATCTCTCATGTATGCTATGATGTGCACTCGCCCCGACCTTGCTTATCCCCTCAGTGTTCTCTCTCGCTTTGTTGGTCTGGGCCGCCACACTGACGTGCACTGGGCAGCTGCTAAGCGCGTCTTGCGCTATCTGCGTGCCACCTCTGACCTTGCTCTCACTCTTGGTGGCTCTATTCCTCCCGTTCTCTCCGGCTACAGTGACTCTTCCTACGCTGACTCTCGCCCTGATCGTCGCTCATCTCAGGGCTATGGTTTTACTCTTGGCAGTGGTCTCATCAGCTGGCGCTCCACTCGCTCATCCTCTGTCTGCCTTTCCACCTGCGAGGCTGAGTTGTACGCAGGCACATTGGCGGCTCAGGAAGCTCGTTGGCTCTCCTTTCTCCTTGCTGAGCTTGGTCACTCTCAGTCCTCTGTGACGCTCTCCTGTGACAGTGCGAGCATGATCCATCTCACTGAAAATCCTGTCTATCACGCCCGCAGCAAGCATATCGAGGTCCGCTATTTCTTTGTGCGTGAGCTGGTGCAGTCTGGCTTCTTACGCCTTCGCAAGGTGGACGCTACTGCCAACCTTGCAGACATTTTCACCAAGGCCCTCCTGCGTGCACCGCACCGTTTCTACGTGCGCGAGCTTGGGCTCACGCGTCTCTCCACTTCTGGGGGTGTGCCGGTTCGCTAGGTGTTTTGCTCCAGAGCTTCACCTAGCCTGGGGGTGTGTTGGAGTAGGCTAGAGCTCGCTCTGGCCTTTATTTTGGTGTTCTTATATTGTTATTTCTCTGGGCTTAGAGCGAGTTACGCACTCAGGTTCATTTTAGGTTCATTTCATAATTGTTAGAACAAACCGAACACACCCTAGGTTCAATTAGGGTTTCCAACCCTCTCTCTTTTGTATCTCGACATTCTCCTCCTAGTTCAACTTCTTCAACCTCACCAAAGCCTCTCGCCATCCATGGCTTTCCTTACTTTAACATGGTATTCAGAGCCTAGTCCTAGGCGTTTCCGTTTTATCCGCATCTCTTAGAAAGTTTCTGGCCCTTAGGCCATTTCCGCGCTACTTAGCTAGACGATTTTTCTTTTTTTTTTTTTTATTTTCTCGTTTCTTTACAGTCACTCTTAGTATCCTCGCGATTTTCTTCACTTTAGTCACGCGGATACTCAATTCCGCTCCGTAGCGCGCCTCCCTCCCGTTCATATCGCTCCCCCGCGCCTTCCCTCTTCGTCGCGCCTCTTCCTCTTCACGTTCCCGGCGGTAGCGCGCCGATTTCTGCTTGTAGCGCGCTTAGCCCCCCCCCCCCCCCCCCCTCTGCTGGTCCTTCAGCTCGCGCCTGATGGCAGCGCAGTCAACTTCCCCAGTTGGCTGAACTGTCTTGAGCGCACGCTGTCTGGCACCCTCGTGAGTGGCTTTAACCTCTGGTTTGTCACTCAGCAGAGTGGCTCTGGCGCCATTCCTAAACCTGCCTCTACACCTACCTCTACCTCCTCCGATCCCTATGCTGATGGCCTTCGTGCTGCTATCGCTGAAACTGAGCGGATTGCGGCCACGGCCCAAACCACTGCCGCGGCTGCTCCTGACAATGCTGCTGCCCGTGACCTCGCTCGTGTTCTTTCTGAATCCCTCGAGAGCACCCGCAAGCGCCTCTCTGAGCATCTCGCTACCCCTTCTCCTCGCTCTGCCCCTCTGCCCTCTGCTTCTGCTCCATCTCACTCTGACCTTCTCGCTGACTGGCATGTTGCCAACGCACGTGCCTGCCAGGTCATCCTTGCCTGCCTACCTCCAACCCTTCTCCCTCAGTGCTCGCACATCCGCTATGCCAAGGACCTTCTCGGCTATCTTACTGAGCGCTTCCAGTCGCAGACTCCCATCAGTGTCATTGCCCTCTTACGCGAGCTCACTTCTCTTCGCCTTGCTGACTTCACCACCATGGCGGACTATATCGCTCGTGTGCAGACGCTGTCCTCCCAACTTGCTGCTCAAAAGTTCGAACTTTCCGATCATGTCTGCGGTGCCCTCCTCCTCACAGGCCTCACTCCTGAATACAGTGTTCATGTCACCCTGTATGGTGAGCGCCCCGCCGACCAGTGGTCGTTCTCTCGTGTCTCTGCCTTCCTCCTCCAGGCAGAGCTCAACCTCCGCAGCTGCCCTCCTACTGCCGCCGCTGTCGCACCCTCTTCCGCCCCCCCTCCTCTCCCCACCACCACTGCCGCTGCCGCTTCCTCTCGCCCTCGCAACACCTTTCCTCCTTGCACCTACATCATTCGTCAGGGGCCCCGCAAGGGTCAGCCCTGCGGTCGCACCAATCATCCCGCCACCTCCTGCTTCCAGAAACTCACCGATGACTGGTTCCTGGCTGGCAACACTGGTCGCCCTCCCAACTGGCTTCAACTCTCTCGTCAGCGTCGCCAGTCTTCTGCCCAGGCGGTACTTGTGGCCGCCGACTCTGGTGCCAGTACTCAAACCTCTGCTCTCAGTGTGACTATGCCTAGTCAGGATAGCATTCTGGGGGCTTCTCCCCTTATGGACCCTCGTTTTGCCATGATGTTTGCTCCTTCTGTTAATGGCAATGATTCTCAGTATCTTGGTCCCACAGCTGCTGCTCTTTCCCTCCCTCGCACGCTTGAGTTTGTTCTTGACAGTGGTGCTACTGACTCTGTTTTTCGTGACGCTGGTGTGCTTCGCTCTTTTCCCCATCCCCTCTCCATTCAAGGGGCTGGGGATACCATGACCATGACTTGCACTGCTACCTCCTCTCTCCCCTGTCCTGCCTCCCCCTCTGGTGCTGTGACTGGCCTCTATGTTCCTTCTTGCCGCCACAACCTTCTTTCTCTCTCTGCTCTTCAACGTCTTTGTGTGCGAGCTGTCTTTCCAGAATGTGACTCCCACTGTGACCCCAACTCCCTCTTTCTCTAATATTGTCTTCCTCGCTACATGCGATCGGCATCGCATTTCTCACCTCCCTATCTTCCCTCTTTTCCTGGAGCATGGCTTAATAGTTCCCGTCCGTTATATCCCACCACTCTCCGTGCGCCACACCCTTGCTTCATTCACCGCCTCCATATATTTCTGTCCGGCACCATCTGACAGGATCTGATAAGCCTCTTCCCTCTTCCCCAGCCCCTCATCCGCTCTCAACCTCTGCACTACTCATCACACTCCCTCCCTCCACTCCTCCTGTTCCTTATACCCTGTGCGGGGAGTGAGGTGTACAGGCCTCGGACCGACCTGTCGTGTCCTGTCGTGCAAGCCAGGTTCGCAAACTCGAGCCTAGGAAACAATTCCTGCTCATCCTTCGCCCTCATTCCACCGCACACCCATTCCCTCCCTAACCCCCTTCGTCGGATTACCCACGTGGCAGAATCTGGCAGCTCTGTCTGCCCATGCAGAGGCCATCCGTTCAATGGTGCAGGGAGTGAGGAGGCTGGTGTTCAGACTTGAGGTCCGGACGGCTCACGCGGACAGAATGCAGGAGGAGAAAGAGGGAAGGGGAGAGAAGTCGCGGGAAAAGGAGAACGAGGAGGGGGGGAAGGTGCAGGAGGAGAGGGTGAGGGACGAGGCGGAGGAAACAACAAAAGGAATGGATGAGCTGATGGGAGATGGACGTGCGGGTTCAGAGAACGAGTCTTGGAAGCAAGGGTTGGGGACAGAGCTAGGGTTTAAGCAAGAGGAAGGACAGGCGACGAGGGAGGCGGAGCACGAAAACGAAGCGAATGGAGAGGGATGGGGGAGTACAGGGCCAGCAGAGCAAAACGCAGAGCAAGGTGCAGAGCAAGGGGCAGGGCAAGTGGCAGAGAAAAACGCAGAGCAAGGTGCAGAGCAAGGGGCAGGGCAAGGGGCAGAGCAAGCGGCAGGGCAAGGGGCAGGGCAAGGGGGAGAGCACGGGGGAGAGCAAGGGGCAGAGCAAGGGGCAGAGCACGGGGGAGAGCAAGGGGCAGAGCAAGGGAGAGAGCAAGGGGGAGAGCACGGGGGAGAGCAAGGGGCAGAGCAAGGGGGAGAGCACGGGGGAGAGCAAGGGGCAGAGCAAGGGGGAGAGCTAGGGGGGGAGCAAGGGGCAGAGCAAGGGGCAGAGCAAGAAGCGGGGCAAGGGAGGGCGACCGGCCAATGTGGAGAGACAGTCAATGAGGCGGTTGCAAGGGAGGTAGCAGTGCAAGAGGAGGTCTTTGACAATCTTTCCATGGTGCAGGTGAGCGGGCGAGGAGAGAGGAGCGTGGGGGGGCGATTGTGAGAAGGGTGGTTGGGAGGGGCGGTTGTGAGAGGGGCGATTGTGAGAGGAGCGGTTGAGAGGAATCCGCACATGAGGGAGTTGGCATCAGTCAACTCCCCCTTGAAAATGTGAGTGAGAAGCATCTGGCATGCCTAAAACATCCCTCTTGCCTTACAGTGAGCGCATATAAAGGACCTTACATCAGGGACCCTCACCTGCTAGTTGTTACTTGCATACTATCCCTCTTTGTCCGCCCTGCATTGCTTCAAATTCTTCCCCTTCCGTTTCCTCATTTTCTTCTGAATTTTCCACTGTTTCCTCTGTTGCGCCCCCAACGCTCACATTCCATCTCAATTCTCTTATCCACACCCAGCCATTCATGACTGCATGTCCCTCCCATTATCCCCTTGTTCCACTTTCCTGATCTCGACCCTCCCCGTTTTCCGCTCTTGCCCCCATCCACCCCTCCCCCATTCCGCCTCCGATCCACCCCAGCCACTCATTTCTGCTGTTCACAGTGCAGGCAGCAATGAGGGAGCAGGGGTGGATTCACAAGGAGCGGTTACAACGAATGTGAACGAGAGGCGCGCACACAGGGGAGGAAGAGGGGGCACGGCGGGGAGAGCAGGGGGAACACAAGTGAGGACGGCGCAGCAGTGGCCGCCGGTGGGTGGAAGAGCAAGCAAAGCAGAGGTGAGGGCACGGCTGCAGAGAAGGATCATTAGTTCACTGCGCAGTGTCCGCCCCCGAAAGGCTGGAAATTGCCACACGACGATTGTTTCCCAGCTCTCTTCCCAAGACCCCGCTGCAAAAGAGCTCTCCCTCGATAGGCTCTCCCTTGCCTACTACCTCCATCTCACTCCCCACTACTATCCAGACTACCTACCGTGCCTCACCACACTCGAACTCCGCCTTGTCAACCAGATTTCGCCATTCGTCGTGAAACAGCTTCTCAGCCTGCCCTCGTTTACAGCCCTTCACTTCCACAAAACTTCCATCCGGCCAGATGCCGTGCCGCTCTTCTAGTGCATGTCTCGGCTCCAGCGGCTCGTCATAGCATGTGTTGAACCCTTTAACCTGCTTCCCAACGTACCAGCAGCCAACCTGCCCCCTCCGCCTAATCCCATCAACGAGCTCCGACCATTTCAGCCGTTTGAGAGCTTGAGGGAGCTGCATGTGAGCCAGGTGATGGACTCTATTCCGCAGGAGGTTGGGGTGCTCACGGCCCTAGAGGTCTTCTCCTGCACGTGCAGACAGGGGGTGAGTTCTAGGGGGTCGAAGAACCTCAGGGGACAAGTGAACCTGAAGAGGCTGCAAGTGGCGCCAACAATCACCCTCAAGATCCTCGGATCAAACGACCACCACTTCGGAGAATCCTTCCTGCACTACCGCTTCGACCCGAAGCTACACTTGCACGAATTCCGCTTGCCAAAGATCGTCAGAACCTTCCAACGCCCCCCAAGGAAAGGGGTCGCTGCTGCAAATGAAGACCCCGGCAACTGCATCGACGGGAGCGTATGGGAGGTGGTAGGCGCCCTGCCGGGTCATCGCGGAAAAGGGAAGTGCGAAAAAAAAAAAAAAAAAAAAAAAAAACCTTAAAAGTTTCTGTTTCGTTACTTTCCAGTTGCATTTTCCGTGCAAGAAAAAAGTCTTAGTCGGAAACAGTGGTAGCGTCAGTCACTTGCAAGTGACTTTCCCGTCACTCTACCGGCGGAAACTGTACACATTGGTGCAACTGACTAGTATACAGTGAATCAACCCAGAAGCCAGTTTCGCGCAACCTGGGCGAAAGCGTACCGACACCGCCACGTGGCATACGACGTACACCAGATGAAACTAAAACATGCTGACGGGGCAGTCATCGTACTCTGATGTTAATCGTCGGGATCAGATAAATATCGACGCACAAAAACGTGCCAAGTGGACCAATCGGAAAAGAATAATGGTGTGACATGTCGACAATTTATTGGTTGGCAATAGCAATAGCGAAATGGTATTGATCTGCAATAGCGATATTTGTTATTGTATGGGGGTACGTTTTCTCTGCTAATGTAAAACCATTCCATTTAAAACCAAGCTCTTACAACGCATACAATTTCCAACCCATAACGAACGTACAATCTACCAAACCATACTAGACTAAGAAGAGTAATGCACATTTAAGTAACCAGGCAAAGTGTGCAGTAAGTTATCTGCTTGTAACCAGGAAGAACAGAGTAGATAAATGTTTGTTAAACACGCTGAACGAGTTTGCGTTTTCAACACTCACCAATGGGGTTAGTAAAAACGGAGTATGCAGTAATGTTGAGTAATATACATTTTAAGATTTTTGTTGACGACAAGCCTACGATAAGATGTACGCCCTGCAAAATAAGCTGAGACACAACAAGCTTCTCGTAAATGATTACCCTACAAGGAAAGGTGAGCCTGTTAACAGAACTAGGAAATAAGAAATGAAAGGAGAGGGCTTTCACTAGCAGCAGTTGGGGTACATATAGCAAACCCTAACTGGGTTGTACTCGCTATAGAGCACCCCACTACAGGCTAGACAATGATAACATTCTGACAGAGCCTTGAAATTGGAAGTTGTGAATGGTGCACAAAAGGACTTACTGTTACGCACCTCGCAGAGAATTCACCACTGGGGTTAGCGGAAAAAACATATTTTCTTCACAAAAAACGCATACTTAGCCTCAATCGCACACCGATGGTTACACAAACGACGGCAGAAACGTTTCGTTGTCTTAGTCTCAACCGTACAAAAGGAACGAGCTGCAGACGAAATATATGAAGGGTCAGCATGAGATGGAGCTGCAAATAGAGGAGAGATGTGTTACCATGAAGCGACAAGATAAGGGGACCATCGAACAAGACAAGTCGAGCAGTAGATTGTCAGAGGTCCACTGGTGATCCTCGATTGATCCTAGGGAAGGGTTACAAGCACGTCGGCCTGGGGGTTATGGGCGCACTCACCCGCTACACAAACAAGCCCTTTTATCCCAATGGTTAGTGGCTGAGATTCTGACATGGTATCAGAGCGAAGGTCTTGGGTTCGAATCCCGGTGTGTGCACCTCGGGCATCCTAGTGCGGGGGGGTGTCAGAGGTCCACTGGTGATCCCCGATTGATCCTAGGGAAGGGTTACAGGCACGTTGGCCTGGGGGGTTATGGGCACACTCACCCGCTACACAAACAAGCCCTTTTATCCCAGTGGTTAGTGGCTAGGATTCTGACATAGATTGATGAAGAAAAAACGTTTTCGCACGAGCGAATCCAAGACTTCTCGTAACGTTTAAGAAAAAAAAAAAAAAAAAAAACATACCTGACGGAAACGCGCCTTAGCATTACTGCGTGCGCGCCAATCCTCCGCGTAAACGCAGCAAATCGTCGACCTGCAAAGGGGAATGGGAGGTTGTGAGGGGAGGAGGGCAGTTCAGAATGAGGCGTGAGAAGGACTTCTGTTCTGAATGACCTGAAGTGAACCAAGGTTCTACGAACAGTAGAAGAATAAACAGAGGGTTGCAGTATGTATTCGCAAGGAAGGAATACAAGTGAGAGGGAGAGAAGAAGAACTTGCTCGTTGGAGTTGGGGTTTGCTGATGTGGCGATAATTAAGGTTGGGGGTTGATTGGGTGGATGGTTGATCTTGTTTGGTATGCTGACGTGTAGATATGGGAGGGTGGGGATTGTTTGACTGTTTACAACAATGACTGATTGGTTGTTAAAATTTGTTTGGCTCACACGTCAGACAGTAGAAGAGGTTTTGGTTCAGATTCGACCAAAAACGAAAACGTAGTATCCACATGCACAGCCTCGCTGGATTTTGTGGAAGCGTTTTGTTTTGTCAGAATTGTTGTTCCCATCTCAAACTCATTGTTACTGTGCGTAACCATTTCCAGCCGCGCGAAACTGTAGACGCGACATTCAAGTCACTTTGAGTGCCTTTTTTGTGTCAAGAGAATTTGTCGTCACCACTTTCGCCCAAGTATCCAAATGGGTGTGCAGTTTTTTGGCAACCCTTCGCAGCTTTCTGGCAGCATTTTCGCAGAAAAACCTTCGGAGCCCTTCCTTTTCCGCGATGGTCTGCAGCACCTGGAGGTGAGATCCATGAGTGAGATCCATCTCCAACCTCAGACAGCTCAAAACTCTCCGCATCACCTGCACTCTGCTTGACGATTCCGACCTGCTGTGCTTGAGAGGCCTCTCGCTGCTCACCGAACTCAGCGTGGCTGCTTGCACGTTTGCGGCAGACCGGGCTGTGAGGTTGGTGATCCAAGGCATGACTCAACTGCAATCGCTGGACCTGTCAAGAACGGCCATCAGCCAAGACGCTTCTGTGCATATGCAAGCACTTGTGCGGCTCGAGCGATTGCAGCAGTGCGGCGGCATGAGCAGGCTGTTTGTGCAGCGTCTCAGTTGTGTTCCTGCGCTGAGAGAATTGGATTTGGGGTGCAACAACATGCAGCATGCTTGGATGGTGCCGGTCCTGGAAGGGAAGAAGGTGACTCGGCCTAGGGTAGGGGGCTGTGGGTTTATGGAACGGGGGCTTCCACGGGCTTGGATCGAGATTGACTCAGAATGGGATGATGACGATTGATGCTAGGATGCATGCATCGTATTTGTTATTTGGAGTCCGAAAGGTCATGCATGTGAAAGTAAAAGCACCATGATGAATGATCAGCACTCAAACATGTAGTTGTATTAGGGCGCATTCCTGGCTTTGGGTCTTCCGCTGAAAATGTCGCCCGAAATCTTGGGAAGACACGAGCCGGAATGCTCAGCTCGGGTCAACAAGCTGAACCTATTCACGATTTTTTTAGACGCAAAATTTGCTGGCTACCCGAAATCGCAGCTCTCGTTAATGTCGGTTGTGTTGACAGAACTAGGCAAAAATGAATTGAAAGGAGAGGGAGTTTTCACTAGCAGCAGTTGGGGTACATATAGCAAACCCTAACTGGGTTGTACTCGCTATAGAGCACCCCACTACAGGCTAGACAATAATAACATTCTGACACACCCCCA